GGGAATTCCTGGAGTTGAAGTCCACCCACCTTCAAGTTGCTAAGGTTGAGGAACCCTGCTATAAATCATCGCAGGTGAATGAACAGATGTAGTGGTGCAAAAGATTTTTCATGAGCAGGTCTAGATCTCAACAATACAAAAAAGTGTAAGAAATCATCACGGGTATTCCAAGTATGTCTTTTAACATCCATCCATCAGGAAAAAGCTGCCTAAAATCATTCAAGAATCATCCAAAAACTTGGACACAGGCAATAAGAACTAAATTTTTTTACCAAACGTGAGAGTTGAATCCTACCCGATTATTTTCACGTGTTACTTTATTAGAACAAGATGCATCGAAGCCTCAAACAGCAGATCTTGCTGGCAGTTTTTCTGAAGCTTCGACCAACCGAAACTAAACTGTGATTTAGTTCATTCTGCTGTCACAGAATTCCAGCGAGAGCACAAAGAGAAAAAAAACAAGCACGGAACTCTTACCGAGAAGTAACAACGGAAAAGTTCAGCGATGCTCGTGAAAGCCACTCGGTGATCGTCATCTTGCATGATGCAGCAACACAGCAACCGGATTCTTTTTTCCCAGACTCGAGTTGCCGACTTCTTGATGTTATAAAGCAGCTGCCCCGACTGGCTGCTCTCCAGATCGCGACTAGAGTGGTTAGCCAGGTAGACCATCTTCCTCCCAAGGGGATCAAAGATAATGATGATACCCACGATGGTAAAGACAATGATCACCCAGCTGCCATGAAGAACAGAGAAGAAATTCCATAAATACTGAGGAGGACATCATTGCCCACAACACTTGCAGCTCCTAAAGCCTTCCCAGGATTCTGTGGCCAAAATGTGGGGGCACCTACTTTACTCAAGATCCACCACCCCACCCCCAAAAGCAGGAAAAGCCAAACATTCTGGCCCTCAAAAAGAGTTGCCCAACTTTGGTGAGAGATAGCACCTCTTCAGCCAGATTAATTTCCCTAGCCAGCATTAATTTCCCAGCATTACTGAAGACACCCCAGCTGGATCGCATCTGAGATCTTCCGTGTGCAAAGCAAATATTCCACTCCAGTTTTCAAATCCTGCCCCACGTCCCCATTCTGAGTGCCCTCCACCAACTCCAGAATCCTCAATCTCCATGGCCACTGCTGAGAACTTTGAGACTTGAAGTCCACATATCTGGAAGATGCCCAGGTTGGAGAAGATATTCTCACAGACTGGGTAGGCTTGTCCAAACACTAGCCTAGGCTAAAAGAGGGTTGGGTCATTGTGATTTGGTGGGTTATGGGAACCCAGCCACTATCAGAGATGATTGGGTGAACCAAGCATAACTACAGTTGGTGGGTTTGGACATTCACATGAAGTTTTGTGAATTCTGCAATTTTCATTTTGTTCAGCTGAGTTTGACGCGTTGTGTGAAACCATCTATCAGACAGCTGCTGGAAGCATGGCATTACTAGGACCTACCAACAAGACTCAAGTAGATGAACTTGAGGCCTCATCTATCTCAAAGACATCTTCACAAATCGAAGAAAATATCCAGCTGCAACCAAAACAGCTGTGTATACTTCTTCAGAAAGCCATATCCAGCCTCCTTCTCTAGCTACAGAAGGCAGAACGTCCTCACCTGGCAATGACAGTCCCAAAAATGGCATTTATCATAGTCCTTTCACAGTTTACTCTGCTGTCAGCGACCCATATGATTCCCACAACAGCCCAGACCAGCTCTGGTACAAAGAGGGCCAGACGGAGGTACAGAAGTTTGGGAAGTGATTTTCTTGGTCCAGGGTTGGAAATGGTTCCTGGAAAAGATAGTCCTTCCACTCATAATACTGTACGTTTCTTTTTATTTATTTCAGAAAAAGTTAAGATGCAAGCAAAACACCAAGGTACACTAGCCCCCCATTAAATGGAACAACCCTTCAACTTTAAAAAAATGATAAAAACCAGAAAAAGAGGAGGAAAAAAGAAAGACCCAAGCCAACAAACTAAATAAAATAAAATAAGAAATCGTATATATTACAGTTAGCAACAAATACCCTATATTATAGTATAATCAATATTATTGTAAAGTATCATCAAATGTAATCCTGTAAGTTTCTAAAGAGGTATTGGAATATAATACTATTTTTATGACATTTCAGATTTCTTGTCTATCCAACCCTAGTTCAGTATCTATGCCTAATTTTCTATATCATCTTTGTATTCTTTTAAACCAGTGTTTCTCAACCTTGGCAATTTTAAGACGTGTGGACTTCAATTCCCAGAATTTCCCAGCCAGCCGTGCTGGCTGGGGAATTCTGGGAGTTGAAGTCCACACGTCTTAAAGTTGCCAAGGTTGAGAAACACTGGTTTAAACCATATAATAAAGGCAAAAAAACTTAAGATAATATCGTTATTGCAAGCAACTGGGATGATTTCTTTAAAAGATTTTCAATTTTAATTGAAGGGGCACTGCAAAGCAACCCCAATTCTCTGTTACTAAAAAATAAATAGCCAAAGACCTCATTGTACAGACTTCTCTCTGTTTAGACCCTGTTTCTGTTTCTTCTGATAGGGGTCTGGTAAGTTCACACTTAACATAGAGGTGTGCAGTAGACGTGTGTGGCTCCGAAGCAAAAGAGGTGTTTTGACTGAGTGCGAGCACCCACACAATACTTCATGGTGCCTCCTTAAAGAATCTGAATCTTTTCCAAAGTACACACACAGCTGTTTTTAGACCGAAAGCCTCTGAGAACAGAAAGAGGTTCCCTTCCTATGGATTGACTGATTAGGTGCCAATAAGTTGATGTCAAAACTTAGCCACCGCCTAGGAAAACCTTCTCCAGGATGATCTCCTCTCCAACCTTATAGGAGAAACTATATTTAATATAATGGGACTCTAACAAAAGATGATCTTATTTCCTTCAGGACCCAAACATAGATGTCATTACTAGAACTGCTAAGTTTATAGGCAGGGCTGTCCAACAGGCAACATGTTTTATGCAACACGCTGAGGCTGCACGCAAAGGTGAAGAAGTCACCCACCCGTATACTGGTTTTGAATTGAAATATTTACCTTCTTATGTATCTCTGCATTGTATTTTATCTTATACTATTTCATCTTACTCTTTTATCTTTACTTTATCTCACCTTACTATATTTTATTCTATTTTACCTCACCGTAGTCTATTTTATCTCATTTTATTTTATTTTGGCCCATGTCCATGCTTTGATATGGTCAACACACTAATCAATAAAGTACAGTATATCTATCCATCTAACTATATTTAATAGAAGTTATTTATGATAATAATTACAAGATCATAGCATGCACATAGGTATTTCTGTGTGCGTGCATATAATTACTGCTTGGACACGTAGATCTCTGTTCTAAATAGCTTCATAAATATTAATTGGAGATCATCCTTAAATTGCTTTCAGAATAAGTTACGCTGGTCCAAATGTAAGAATCATCACTAACTGATCACTGCTTCTATGATATTCAATAAACACTTAAAATGATTTATGGGATATTGTAAAGCTTGGTGAATTGCTGTCTAATTTACATCACCCACAACCAATTTAATTCTCTTTCCCTCTATACGCCCCTACTTGTTTGCAGAACTTTCCCTATATTTTTATTTTATTTATTATTTATTATTAAATTTATATGCCAAATCAAACCAAACTATATATAGTTTGGCATATGTGTGTGTGTGTGTGTGTGTGTGTGTGTGTGTATCTATATGTATGTATGTAACAGTGGAACCTTGGGTTACGAATGCCTCTGTTAACGAACTT